GGTCATATTGGACCAAATAAGGTCTTGAATCTCAGGACAACTGGAGGTGCATTCATACCGTATTTGCCTGATTCCACCTCACAATGGTATTAAATCCTTGTTTATGTTTAATAAGCTATCCATTCCCCTAGGTGGGCCACAAACATCTTACATTTACATAGCCATGCAGTCTTTTCTGACTCCTTGTCATGGAATTGGTGATACTATGTATAGGGCAAGGTAGAGCTGCCCCTGTGAGTTTCCAAGACTAACTTTACAAGAGTAGAGTACAAAGCCCCATCTTTCTCCTGGGGAGCAGCTGGTTTCAAATTGCTGACCTTGCAGTCAGCAACCCAGTGAGTAACCACTATGCCACCAGGGCTCTTCCCATTTGTTTGCTGGTAAAGACTAGGAGGGCTATATATTAATATACTGGATGTCTTTCTTGCAGTACACATAATGTCTTTATTGAGAGTAGGGAGAACTTACTAGGAATGATTGCCACAAGGGCAAAGGTAACATAGATCTTGGACATCTAGCTATTTTAGGGCCCAGAACTGATGATCAAAGTGGTGATCAATCTGGCCTAATCCAGTCACTCCACTACCATCGTTTGTCCAGTGGAAGGTTTTGTAATCACAAACCCGATTCTTCCCATATATATACTTTATATAGAAGGAAGATATATATACTTATGAAGGGGGGCTGGTGGTATAACCCATTTCTTTGAAATATATACTTATATAGAAGGAAGCCTCAGAAAGTTCTGGGAGACAGTCTTCTTTTCCATAAACCCCCCACCCCCCCAGCTTTTTTTTTTTAATCATTTTATTGGGGGCTCGAACAATTCTTATCACAATCCATACATACATCCATTGTGTCAAGCACATATGTACATTTGTTGCTCTCATCATTCTCAAAACATTTACATTTGCCTTCTACTTGAGCCCTTAATATCAGCTGCTCGTTTTCCCCCTCCTTCCCCACTCTCCCCTCCCTCATGAACCCTTCATAATTCATAAATTATTATTATTTTGTCATGTTACATTGTCTGACGTCTCCTCCCGGCCTCTTATCTGCTGTCCATCCCCCAGGGAGGAGGCTATACATAGATTCTTGTAATCGGTTCCCACTTTCTACCCCACATTCCCCCCACCCTTCAGGCATCGCCACTCTCACCACTGGTCCTGAAGGCATCATCTGTCCTGGATTCCCTGTGTCTCCAGTTCCTATCTGTACCACTGTACATCCTCTGGTCTAGCCAGATTTGCAAGGTCGAATTCGGATCATGATGGGGCATTTAGGAACTAGAGGAAAGTTGTATTTTTCATTGTTGCTACATCGCACCCTGTCTGGCTCGTGTTCTCCCTAAGATCCCTCAAAGCAGCAGTTCTTAACCTGTGGGTCTCGACCCCTTTGGGGGTCGGATGACCCTTCCATAGGAGTTGCCTAAGACCATCAGAAAACACATATTTCAGATGGTCTTAGGAACCGAGACACCCCTCCTAGCAGGTCCGCCTACACGCAGATATGCTGATCTGGTGAGAAAGAAGCTATCTCAACCTTTGCACTGGCAAAATATAGCAATGTAGTTTACTATCGTTATATTAAGACTGTTACCATTGTACACCATGTTTCAAGACAAAATTTCATTTGTCATTAGAAATAAATATTTCAATATATTTACATACTGTTTTTGTGATAACCATGCTTTAATTATGTTCAATTTGTAACAATGAAAACACATCCTGCATATCAGATATTTACATGACGATTCATAACAGTAGCAAACTTACAGTTATGAAGTAGCAACGAAAATAATTTTATGGTTGGGGGCTCACCACAACACGAGGAGACTGTATTAAAGGGCCGCGCGCGGCATTAGGAAGGTTGAGAACCACTGGTTTAAGGGATTATGCCTTGGATTCCTGAATTAAAGGTCTGCACTCAAATCTACCAATGGCTCCGAGGGAGAAAGATGAGACTTTCTACTTCTGAAAACAGTTAATGGTCTTGGGAACCCACAAGGGCCCTTATACTCTGTCCTGTAAGGCAACTGTGAGTTGGAATCAACTGGCAGTGAAGAGTTTATGGAGAGATGGGTTATACCACCAGCCCCCCTTCATTGAAGAAAGATGGGACCTTCTACTCCGGTACACCTTTTGAGTTGGAATTGACTCAGTGACGGTGAGAGGGTGTTTACTTGGGAAATATGAGAAACCTAGTGGCTTTGTGGGTTATACATTGGGCTACTTAACTGCAAGGTCAGCAGTTCAGAATCACCAGCTAACCCACTGTAGAAAGGTGACGTGTTCTACTCCTGTAAAAAGTTAGAATCTCAGAAACTCAACAGAGGCAGTTCTACCCTGTTCTGTAGGTTTGATCAAATTGGAATTGACTTGATGACAGTCTGGTCTGCTGAAAGACAAAAACCACACCTCCCTCAGCCTTTCCTCTGTTTAATAAGAGTACCCTCTTATATGAGCCCCTAATAATACGATTTAAAAAACAGAAAGAAAAGGGGGGAAAAAAGCGTACCCTCTCAGAAGCCTTGAAGAAGAGCTCGACCAGTGGAGCACAATCAAAAAGACCCCGGCTGAAAGTGACTGAGGCTAAGGTCAGAAGTTGCAGTGTGGAGACCATGGGACGGAGCAAAAGAACTCTACTGGAACAGGAAGGCTGCTCCTGAGACCTGAGGCTGCGAGACAAGTTTGGAAATGCTGGTTGAGGAGAGGCGCTGCTGTGGATCAAGGACTTGACTTGTAATCTGTAATGATCCCTAGAATTGTGTTTTGTGTGGTGATTGCAATGAATTATTGAATCCAGCAGAAAACCACGGTGTATGGGAAGAAATGGTTGGTGTCAGAATAGGTGTGGAAGGGATGTTGGAAACCTGTTTGACCTATGTCTTGTGTCAGTTGTCCTTGAGCATATATGAAGTGAGTGTCTTCCTGGGGGGGGGGAGAGCTGGTTGCAAGTTTGTCCTGGTGCATATGAGTGAGTTGGGCTGTAATGTAAAAGGTAAGCAATTCTACTCTAGTAAACAGTCTTGGGAACTACGGCCAGTACTACCCTGCCCTTCAGTCCTACCCTGTCCATCAGGTTTGCTGTGCGTCGGCATCATCTCTTGTTAGCCAGAGGTCAGATTTGGCGTACAGGCCCTTTACTCATCATCTAGAATCTTAGTGGTCTTGTCAGTTAGTGAAGACAAAATAAATACAATTTAGCCAAAATGATGAAATTGAAGAAGTCATCTTTGAAGGAGGAGTTGTTTTTTAACCAGAGTTTGGAAGAATCTTCTAGGCAGATTTGAAAAGCTAAAGGTCCTTGTTACTTGACAGTAGATTCTCAATGTGTAAATCATATTTAAAGCATTTTTATTTAACAATGGCTAGCTTGATTTAAGAATTCATTGGAACACAAGCCATATTCAGGAATTCACAATTAGCTAATTTTACTAATTTGATAGAAACTGGAATCTCATTTAAATTTCTGTGACTTTTTAAAAACTTGGATTGTTAGTTTATGCTTGTTACACATTTTTGTTAGTAACGGCTAATCACTATTGTGCTTCATTAGAAAATTTATCAGTGCTGTTGTGAGGTAGCATCGAGTTGGTTCAGACCCATAACGACCCAGTGCACAACAAAAAGGAACACTGTACGGCCCTATGCCATCCTTACAATCAGTGCTGTTAGGAATTATTTAAAGCACAGAGACAGTTTAGACCAGGGTACATTTAATTAGTGTTTCTGTGGATTGTTAACTCACAGAGTGAACTGTTCAAACTTACCAGCTACCCTGAAGAAATGTGAGGTAAGTTACCTGTGCAGATTTACAGCTTCAGGATTCTATATCACTATAAGTTAGAATCAATTTGATGGCAGTAGGTTAGGATAGATTTAGAATAAATTTATTTTTTCTAAAAACCAGATATTAGTCCCCAAATGCTGGTATGAATAATCACATCCGATATAATTTTGTATAAGGATTTGAATTTAATATGGAATTTCAGTTGTGCTTTTTATTTTTTTATGGGAGTCCAAATAAAGCTTGCTTTTGCTAAGGCATATCTTTCTGTGAAAAGAAATTCTGTGTAGTCCTTAGGCCTCAAAGTATATATACTCAGTGCTGATAACCAAGAGCACTTTAACAGTGTGTCCCATATCAGAGTGGACAGCTAGCTGTCACTGACATGGCATGAGTTTGAAGACGCTGTCAGTGACATGGCATGAGTTTGAAGAATCCAGAACTTTGTAATCACTCACTGCCATGGAATCCAATAGAATGCCTGTGAATTTCCTAGATGAACTAGGGAAATAGAAAAGCCCTGTCTTACTACCTTGAAGCAGCTGGTGGTTTTGAACTACTGACCTTGTGGATAGCAGCCCAATGTGGAACATTTACACTGCCAGGGCTCCTAGAGTTGTCATAAAATAGTTTCGAAGAAATTAGTAGACTTAAAATTTTTTTCCCCCAGGTTAATATTTGAATAAATGGTCCTGTGGTAGAATTCTTGTCTTCCATGTTGGAGACCCAGGTTTACCCAGGTAGTGAACCTAATGTCATGCATAGCCAAAGCTTGTGTATCAATCAATATTGACATGAAGCTGAACAGTTTTCAACAGCTTCCATACTAAGATATGGGGTCTTTAGGAGGGCTATAAATCCAGTGGATGACAGTTGCTGATTTTATAGAAATTTGATTAAATACTGCTAAAAATTAGCGGGCTTGTTTTGTGAGATCAAATGTTCAAGCAAAAAATAAGTTGATAGAGATCCTTTTTCTATAATTACCATTCTTTACAAATGATATTGTTTTATTTATTGGCTAGGTTTTAAGAGTCTACTGCCTGTTTTAAACAAGCCTGTTTTTCTGTTTTCTTTGGTTCCCACCCATTCTGGACATTAATGATTTTCAAAGGGAGTATATATTCATGGCATCTTTTTAAAAGTTTGTGTTAAATCTGTAAAATATATATAAAATGTTAACATTTTAACTTTGACATTTCTCTCCATAGATAATTTGGAGGTCTTACAACATGGCAGACATTGACAAGTAAGTGACAGAGCTGATTCTTTTTTTCCAGAGATTTAGCATCAGTTTATACTGTGATGTAGTTAATAGTAGTATAATTGTTTTACATGTTAGTTACTAATGGTTACTACTTAAAGTATGTCCAAGATAAACTATATGTGACTTATCAGGCGTTTATTATTAGGACAGTGCTGAGCATACTAAATGGTTCATAATACTTGAGACTTCATTTTTACCATATATGTATTTCTCAAAAGATTTTAGCAAAAAGGTATAGAGTATAATATATAGATATACTTTTAGAAAATAAATGTAGAATTTAAATAATAATAAAAAATTGTGTACTTTCATCAAAAAAGAATATTTTGCTTGGTTCTCTTACTGATTGCATCTTCTGCCTCTCCAGAGGTATAATCATTATTCTGACTTTAATTTTGAAAATCTGAATAGCATTTACAAACTGAAGAGTGCACAAAAAAAGATAGTATCTAGTCTCGCTTTCTTGAGGTCTTACCAGAGCCTTTTTTGAGAAGCCATTTGTCAAAATCATGCTTCCTAGAACATAGGTTTAACCAACTTAGAAATTGGAATGGCTCTAGTGTGGATGAATGTCTTAAAGAAGCATGATAGAGGAAATGAGATAAGCTGCACTGCATTTGTTGCTTAATAATTTTAACAACAGCCTACTAAAAAGGTATACTAGGTGTTAGATGGAACAGAGGGGTGATTCTAATCAAATATCAGCAAAGGAGGGCAGGCAGACATTGATTTAGTACAAGGTCAGCATCACCCTAGTACTATGTCTGGCCTGATCCATGCCTGCATGCTACACTGTCTTTATTATGAAAAATGGTGGCTCTCAACATCTGCTTAACGTTAGTCACAGTGGTCACCTGTGTGTGATCTCTAGTAGTCTTCATGGGTTTCCTTTTCATTCTCCCCTGTCTTAGAATTGTTTGTTATATTCATATTTTTGTTTTTAGTTCTTTAGTGCCTTAACAGATTGTATGGGAAGTAAATATCTTTGAGGGAATCACATGATTGAATTGTTTGTATTTATTCTACCCTCATGCTCTCTAGTTTTGGGTGTAGAATTCTGGTTTGGAGACTTCCCCCAGAATTTTGAATGCATTGCTTCATTGTCACTTTCTCAGTGTTGCTCTGCAGCAAAGTCAATCATTGTGATACCTAAACAAAATGTATACGTATTCCTGGAAACATCTCCAGTGTTAGAGTTCTGAAACTTTCATAGTGATATCTTTTTCATTCATTGTTTTAAGCATTCAGCGGTGAACTCCTTATTTCTGGGAACTTTTCACTGCTTGCAGTTCTAGCAAATATTCTTGACTTTTGTAGATTGCCTTATTCTGCTTGTGTTTCTGGAACTCTAGTCAGGTGTTGATCATATTGGACGTTTCTAATTACCTTGTGCCCTGTTTTCAATCTTATGTCCTTTCATGCTCTTCTGTCTTTTGTTCTATTTACCACCTTTATCTTTTTGTTCTTGGCAAAATTGAGGAAAATTACCTTTCAACTATTGTATTTCAAATTTTCTTCCATGTTTTCTTTGCTTCCAAGAGCTCCTTCACTGTCTGAATGTACCTCTTTGTAAAAGCACCCTGTTCTTGTCTCATTGATGTCACGTCTTTTCTTTGGATGTTTCTTTCACCTGTGTGGTTTGCTAATTCTTCATTTTCATTTACCTCTATTTTAATCCTTCCTTAAGTATGAGGCAGTCGCTAAGATTGACTGGGAGAAGGACAGTTGTTGGGTTTTAAGAAAAATAGATTGGAATATTTGAGTGCTTAGAGGTGGGGGCTTGCCAATTTGGGGCTTTCCTATATAATGGGTCATCAGTCTAGGCATTTGTGAAAACTTATTGCCAGTATTTCTTTCTGGGTCAGTCAGATTAGATTCTCCAATGCAGAGATTTTTCTAAGTAAAGATATGAGAGAAGGTTGGAGGTGGGTGTGGGTCCTGTATTCAGCATTCTAGTTCATATACAGCCAATCCTTCATATATACGATGCCTGGTCCTCCAGTCATAGTCCTCAGTTTTACCTTCAGAGAAGAAACTGCCATACTTTTGCTAGTGTGGGATCAAGACTTACCTGCTTATCAGTTTTTACTTAGTTCTTCCTATTTTAGCCACCATTATTCCTTAGCCATATTTCCAGAAGTACCGTATATACTCGAGTATTATAAGTCGAGTTTTTCAGCACATTTTCAATGCCGTTTTTGTGGTAAAATTAGATGCCCTGGCAGATATTCGGGTCGGTTTATCCTCGTTTATATGGTATATTTGCTGGCAGTTCTTTCCCTTTCTAAGATTCTGTGTTTATAAATTGGGCTGGTTCTTGTATTGATCTGTTGTTAGCTTAGAGGTCAGCTCTCTGTGATTTTGGTTACTTGTCACCTGCTTTTCATTTTCTAAAAATGTGCTGCTCTTGGCTGCTTTCTCTTTTAGTGTTTGTTCATTTTAAAACCTAAACTTAGTAGGGCTTTTGGAAGATGAAAATGTATGAGAGGGCTTTAAAAAGTAGAAAAATGTAATTAAAATAGATTGGAATTTTTCCACCAATGTTTTAAAGCTTCACACAATCTACCATCTTAACTCAGAGCCTTCTTTATAAATATCTTTTTAAAGGATTAAATTGGATGTGACAGCTTGATATTTTCTTTTTCTCCCCCTTTCCTCTTTAATTTGAATGGCAAGGGTCTGAGATGGTAGTCTCTTATTCATTAAAGCTGGAGTCTGCAAACTCTCCATAAATATCTCAGACACTTTGGAAAATGTGGTCTCTATCACAGATGTTCAAGTCTGTTAATGATAAAATAGCCACAGGCAATATGTAAATTAATTTCTATGATTATCTTCTAGTAAAACCTCTTTTATAAGAACAGTGGGCTAGATTTGACCATGGGACAAATTGGTTAACATGCCTGAACTCATCTAATACCAGTTTTAAAGGCTTACAATGTAGATGTTCAATAAATGATTGAATAGAAATTACATTGGAAAAAGGCTGATCAATGCTATTGTCAGTTTCATAGTGCCGAATAGAAAAAAGTGTAGAAAGATTTATGGAGATCTTAGTCTACCTCATGTTTAGAGGAAAATACAGATGGTACCATGGAGAAGTTTTAAAAGGACAGATGACATTCTTCCCATTTTGTACTAGTCTTTGAACATTAAGATTATAACTAAAACAAATGTTAATCCTTCCCCACCTCCAAATTTGTACAATTAAAATCTTTCCTAGGCTACTAGGCCTAAGATACTCCCCGTACAATTGCTCTTGTTTTGGATGGGAAGGCAATGTTTCTTCCCCTCAGTTGACAGGGACTTTGGGTGTTAGCTGTTGTTGGCAATTGCAGTATCAGCTCCACAGGAGAAAGATTGAGGATTTCTACTTCTGTAAAAATGGTCGCTTGCGAGTCAGAATGATGGTAATGACTTTGTTTTTTCTATAGTAGCCAGTTAGTATTTGTCTTTACATGAAAATTAAATTTTCAAATGCTGCTTATAGATTTGAAAGTAACTACATCTGTGATCCTAAAGTTAAAATGAAAAGTGAGGGAAGGAATTGATGACTCTTGTTATAAATGCTGACCTATTCATAGATTTTTTTTGTGTTCGTTGCAATCTTAATGTTTAAAAACTAGATTTTAATATGAGATGGGAAGGTGTCATGTCTTCTTACCTGATCTTAGTGGTGCCATCTTTGTTCTAAACATGTGGTAAATGCAAATTTTCTGGCTCTGTGAGTTAAAGATGAAGAAAGTGTAAAGGTATTGAGTATAGGCTGAAGAGGTTTTTCCACAACCATCAAGTACCCATGCTCCTTCTATGTCATTTCTTGTCTCCTCCTTACTACTGCCCCAAACGTACTTTTAGCTGATAGCTTTCATTCCCTGACTTTCCTCAGGTCCACTATGGTGGCTGCTAGCCGTCTCCAAAGTGCTCTACTATATCTTTTGTCTCATGCCTAAAACTTAGTCACATAGCTCCATCTAGCTGGAAAATTAGACCTTTAGCTTGGTGTTGCCATCCTTTATCAGGGTATTATTAGTTACTAAGAAGGAAGTGGCGACCCAGATATTGTATAATTACTTACATAGCAAGTTAGAAAACAATTACCTTTGAGTCTGTTTTGTATCTTTGAAAGAGACATATTAATCTAGAAAATGAATATTTAAGTTTTTCTACATTTTTTTGATTGGTACATTTGAACTTTGGTGTGATACTATGATATTATAGCAAAGAACAGTCTGAACTTGATCAAGATTTGGATGATGTTGAAGAAGTAGAAGAAGAAGAAACTGGTGAAGAAACAAAAATCAAAGGTATTATTTTAAATTACTTCAGGAACCAGTGATTGTTGGCACCTGTCCTAGAGAGTTTCTCTTTGGAACCTTTTTCACTCTGCCCACTGGTCCTGCTTCAAGTTTAGTGACAGTGTTCATGTGACGTGGAGATGAGAGTAAAGGATGGAGGCAAGTGTGGATATAGAAACCCATGAGAAGTCATTGCATGCACTGCTAGAGTGACATTGTTGTAATTACTGTCAAACCAACTGCTACTAGTTTTGTGTGAATATCAATGTTAAATTTTTTGTCGTGGGTTTTTTATGTTACTTCTAAATGAAAGACTAGTTACACTTAAAATATGCTTAGTTTGAAAAGTTTGGAGAAATTCCATTATCTTTTCATTCCGTTATTCTTGGAACTTTTCCAAGTCCCTTTATATATAGGAAACAAGTAATTAATGCAGGTGTCTTTTTTAACTCCAACCAAACAATAACAAAACCATATATTAAATGTAGACAATTGTATTGCCCTATAGTTGAAAAACAAGATTGAATTTTTCATTTTTGAATGAGTTGGAAATTAATGTGATGTGTAGATACTTTAGTTAGTCACCATGTTGTAACATTTTATTAAAAGATATGGGGTTTGTAACTTTAGTGGTCAATATTGATATTTCTAAATACATGTTCACCACTGTACATAATCTAGTAA